CCTCGTAACGTGTGCAGGAACTACGGCAGGTCGTGAGTATTGGCCACTCCCTACGTCACTGTGATCTATAGTGCTCGATGTTAGCGTGTCGATTATAGATCCAAGGGCGTCCCAGGGTACAAAGTTGGGCTTGGTTATAGGTGGTAGCTGTAACAGATACAGCTGGGAGAATACGAACCAGGCGGTCAACTATACCACACGCCGACGACTGTGGAATAAAGGGCGCCTCCAGGAGTCCCGGGATTACTATACTTTTATGTCCTCGATCTGCCTAAGCTCTAAGGGGCATGGGAACAGTAATTAATGATTTGTCTCATACTTTCAGTGATTTACCAGGAATGATAGGAACTTTCCAGCGGCTCGTGGTGAGCATCTAATGAAATTTATTAACCGATCAAAATTGTACGGACCTTAAAATACCTGCACTCTTGGTTTTATAGTCCAACCGTTAATTATTATCTGATAAAAGACGACGAGATATGGAGGTTGTCTTATGTGGCCGTATTGTGCACACAGCTTGTTGACTCTAGAAAGTGGCAACGAATTACACTCCGTACCGGCACTCTTAGGTAACGTACTTATTGTGGCTGGACTGAGCATTGTATGATTTTGTAAGGGCACTACCGTCTAACTTACTAGGATGAAGCACAATATAATCACAATTTACAACACCATAATTTGAAATCAAATGTGCACTTTGTTGCTATACTCAAACAATTTAAAAGGGATTTTTTTTTTCGATAGCCATTGAATTATTATACTGTAGTATGATGTGTGTGTCTCAACTCAAGTATTATATTATGCAGATAACTACAGATTCAGCTGCATAAGAAAAAGGGGCAAATTATTAAGTGGCATGTGCGTGTAAGTTTGGAACAAGCCATCCTAAATTTAAAGTTAGGGTTCGAGGAAGCGTGCGTAAGCTGTGGTTTATACATGGCCAGAGTCTGTTCCAGGAAGGTGGATGGACACCCGGAAGGTTACTAGTTACCGGTACACACGAGTATGTTCCTCAGTAGTTGGCCAAATGTAATTTTGATTACAGGGATATATATATATATATATATATATATATATATATATATATATATATATATATATATATATATATATATATATATATAATGTGTGTGTGTGTGTAGAGGTAGGTTGGGCTACCGACTTGTTATTCCTTAGGGGCGAGGTGGTGAACAAACTTTGGGCCAAGTCGATCTAAAGTTTAGATTCACAGCTCGTTTGATCACTGGGTCTTTTATATTGGCTGATGGGGGAACGGGGCGGGCCAACTTGAGGTTTTCTCCCAACTATCTGCTGCTCCACCCCTACTATCCTGGGGTATTGACGCCCCTGACCCCATGTCATGTATGTTAGTATCGTGTATGTTTGTATTGGTATACGTCTGCATGTTTGTGTTTGTAAGTGTGTGCCAGCATATGTAATTTTGTGTGTGTGATGGTGGTGGGCTTTTTTTTCTGCAGTGTCATCATCGTTAACTTTACAGCGTTACTGTAGTGCTCACTCTAGCTTACTTCTTAAAACCATATATTGGCCGTAATGAACACACAAACTCTGTGGGGCTTTGTGTCAGACTGTACAAGTAAATATTATTTAATGTGGGTCCCATGGGCTTGCGGCCAATACTGCACCGGACTGTATTCACTTCCCTCACTAAATTGGGGTATACATTAAAGTTGGATGGACTAGGGGTACCCGGAGCCGGAATCAGAGAGACTTGGGGCAGGATGCGAGCTTTGTATCCACTAGGCCGCTCCGTCCCATGGGCTAATATTAGAACACACAGTACGAAAAGCGTACATTTATCTGAGAAAATTAGATACCTCACGTTCCATCGGTGCGGAGAAAGTTAACCTGCCCAAAATTGACTTTTTTGGTCGAGGATGGTTTTGAAGGAGCCTGGTGGAGCCAAGGATGCCCTGGCACGAGGGTCAGGCCGCTTCAGAGTCGTGAGAGCGCCATCACGCATAAGCTGTTCGTGATGAAGGGTTTAATTGAAGCAATAACATATAATTGTTGACGGTGCCGCGTTACTGGCAGAATTATCTTAATTTACACATCAAGTTTCCCTTACGGTTTATATTTCGTTCTTAGTGAATTTAATAAAGTGGACCACATCGGTAAAAATAAGAACCTTCAATCTAAACTCATTGTTGTCGGTGAATACCCGTAGCGTTTGTTGTAGTGGAGGGCGAGGGTGTGCAGATTGTAGATGGGGTGTGCAGCTGTTGTAGCGGCTGTGGCCCGCGACAGCTGGTGGCGATTATCAGTGCAGCGGCTGGGACCTTTGCAATACCAGATATTAACGAGCTCCCGCACAGCCTCGCCAATTAACATGAACATGAACCCAGCGCACTAAATGAACTTCTGGGTGATTTATAGTGGAGGATATAGCCGGGTATTTGGCTAGTGCCACGCCGGCTGTTGGGAGGACACATCAGCTGCTGTCGTCCCGAGTGGTTGGTCATGAGGCGCCACCCGCTCCAACCAACTGGGTCCTGTTATTTGGATGTTAAGGTAGGTTGTGGAGCCTCACCCACCACAACCAACGGGCCATGTTGTTTGGTTGTCTAGGTAGGTTGTGGAGCTTCACCACAACCAACTGGGCCCAGTTGTTTGGTTGTCTAGGTAGGTTGTGGAGCCTCACCCACCACAACCAACGGGCCATGTTGTTTGGTTGTCTGGTGGAGTTGCAGACTCATCACTTTGTTCTGTTCGGTTGTCTTAGGTTTTCTCAGCACTTTTCTGCTTGATCATTCACAGCACCATTGTGACCGCTGGCCTCCTGCTGGATGTTAATGCCGGCTGTTTTCTGAGTCTGTTCCTGGCTTATGTTTCTTTACTTCCCAGATTGTTGGGTATAATATTGTGGTAGAGCTTTGTCTTCTCTACCACACTTGAATTTTTTTTAACTTGAAAAATTTTCTTTACAGCATCCATTCTTAAAAATTTGATTCCTGGTTTTTAAGACCAAAAATGTTGTTTGTAAAATTAATACCATTTTAGGTGTTATATGGCTCCCCGTTCACGTCTGCTTTCTTACCCCTTCAGTCACAAGGGAAAGTTAACATACGAACCATGAGAGTGTGGACCCAGTAATGTGTTCGTGTCATATACCGTTGATGGGACGGTTATCTCGTGCTGATGGTTCTCTAAGGGTCAGGTTCCCCCCCTGTACACCAGACCTTGTTACTGCTACCACCACTGTCTTGCTCAGCCGCTGCCTTTATGCGAGGTAACGTCCAGCGCCACTCTGGGACTTGACTTGTTTGACTACTGCAGTGCTTTGTATTTACCTGTTATAAGTTTGTGGTTCAACTTGTACAGTTATCGTGTTTTTCAAGAATTAAGATTTTGCCTTGACTGCCTGTTTCTTGATTCTTACCGGTGTTAACTTGATTGTACCGTTATTTTATTGTAATAAGTGTCCCATATCTGTTAAACTTCTGGTACACTGTATTTGTTGTTTGTTTTTATGTTAAAGTTCGTTACTCCTTATCAGCTTCTCACGTCACTGTTAAGCTTGAGTGAGTTCTACATGTATACTACTGCCATTAACCTGGAATCTATTGATTACGAGAGTAGTTAAGTGTTGAGGCTGCCGCTATGTTTGGTACTGGTGTGTCGGCATTGTATGAGTTACAGCTTCACGTGGACACGAGAGAATGCTAGATAAAGTGGCCTATAATTCTGGAAGAGTCAAAGGAGGGAGACCTTATACGAGAAAATGCCACGTATTATGTTTATAATGAGGATAATTTGAATGAAGTTATGATGGTTATCCCTTGTATGATAGTCAAACATGAACCTGTGGTAACTGTCGAGAGGTGGAGGTTGAGGGTGTTGGTAGGTAGAGTTGAGTGGTGCAGAGCAGTAAAGGTGAGAGTGTGGGCGTGGTGGTGGTGGGGTTCAGGAGGGGCGGTAGGAGGCAGGTGGTGGGCGTGTAGGTGCGGCACAGCCCCGCCAGGATCGATGGAGACCCGCCCACTCTTCTCGTCGACCTTGGCTGGCACTACCCCCCTATCCCAGCTCTTGGCCAGCCTGCCTTCTTACCCCACTGGGCCGAGAGCCTGCTTGTCTGCTGCCTCCCCCGCCCTGGGCACCTGTCCCACCCTAAGCCAGCCCCCGGGAACACCTGCCTCACGATCTCCCAGTGAACCACTACATGCTTAGTGTATCGAGGCCTGTGGGGGGTTACTGCCAGGGTAGCTTCGTATGTTCCAGGCAGTATCATAACACCCTCAGCTACAGGAAGCCCTCATAGTGGCCACGTCTGCCGTTCCTCGTTCCCTCACCTTTAGGCAACGCTGCCACCCACAGTGACCCGATTCATACACCCCACACATACACAACAGCGCTAACGGAAGGGCCATGATAGGAGGTCTTAGCCATACCACCGCTACGCTACCCATCACTTTCACAGACGAAGGATATCCATGGATATCAGATTTTTTCTCAACTACCGTCTCATAATTTTGGAATCACAACAACAAATAATGCAGGACTGATTTGCGGACTGCATGAAACAGACGAGCTGACCGGTAGTACCAAGGAAGCCGAGTTGCATAGTTCCCGGAACAAACTCTGTGGTGGCAGTTTTGTCTCGGGATGCCAACGTAACACATGTGGGCAGGGAACAAGGGTGGTGTAGTTGAGAGGGGTACTGGTATGCTTGTAAGTCGGTCTGGGCCCCAGGTGTGTGTGTGTGTGTGTGTGTGTGTGTGTGTGTGTAAAGTTTGTTGCCATCTAACTTTAATATTTGTGTCGATTGGCAGCAGTAAGCGAAAGCGTTCTCATGTTTGGTTGGGGACAAGATGTTGCTTAGGATTTGTTTATCACCGTCCAGTCGTAACCCCGCCCCCATTTCCTCGTCTAGGTTAATATGGGGGCAGGACTGTGTTTCTTGTGTTGACACTTTGTATGTTTATTACTGTGCACCCTCAAACTTTATTTTATTTACGCATTTGCTTATTTTTATTTTTCAGGAAAGGGGAGCCAGAGACACCCAACCATGTGCTACTCATGACCATTCTCAATCCCGCCTACCCCATAACAGTGGTGAGTACTATATACAACATTGTACAATGTTTACATACATACATAAATGTGTACACACCACAAAAGTGAGTGGGTTAAGTTTAAAAAAAAATGCTTCTCTTGACGTAGGGTCTTAATTTTACGGTTATTTATATATATATATATATATATATATATATATATATATATATATATATATATATATATATATATATATATATATATATATATATATATATATATATATATATATATATATATATATATATATATATATATATATATATACATATATATATATATATATATATATATATATATATATATATATATATATATATATATATATATACATATATTATATATACATATACATATATATATATATATAGTGTTCATGGCAGGGGGATACCCATCTGGGTTACATTATAGTCGGGGATTGGTAATGAGTCAAATGACCATAAAACCTATCATAGTGTTTTTGTGAGTGGTGTTGACCGCATTCCCCTGCACGAGGTAGAGTTAGGCCGGGAGTCAGTCAGTGGTGGGGTCTGACACGTGATAGATGTGATAATTTGATGTGAAATTTGAGAGGTGGGTTGGCAGGCATGACAGGGTGGATGGTGGTGGTGGTGCAACTGAGTGAGGCTCGCCGGGAACGCTGCCGCTGCTGCCACTCACCTGCCTACCTACCGTGCCTGAGTATTTTAAACCCTGACTCACCTCCCTGCTAGTAAAACATTGTGAGGAGTGAAATACATGGTTTTAAGGTGTAGGACGACCATACGCCACTCCCTATGGGCGGCGTTATATATTGTAGGATTATTACATATTAAGATGGGCGAGTATTTTGAGGAAATTATTAGATTTTTCTTAGACATGAGAACGTTATATATCTTAAAGGTAATGTATACCCCGTTAGAATTAAATGTATACATGTCGGATGTTCTTCTTTTTCTCACTCCTGTATTAGTTCTGTGGTGACGTGATGAATAAGCCTTGTGTTGTGCAGCGTAGTGCTAGTCACAGTAAAATGAGGTGATGTGGTATAAAGGTGTATTACGTGTGCCGTTGACGGTGGACAGGTGACTTTTCTGTCCCTGGTATGTTGTGGTATGTTGTCATTTGTCGACGCCATCCACTTCGCCCTCACCCAGGTAGATTGCCACTCTCCCAGCAGCTGCCCCTCCATGGACATCATGTACTTTACGCTTTATAACCCCCCCCCCATCCTTACCAACACTAATGCTCGTTAACCTCTACCATCGCCCAAGGTAAGCGTGCCAATCGTGAGGTGTGTGTGTGTGTGTGTCTCGACCACATGTCCGAGTATTATCAGTCAACACGTACTGCATACTTTGACAGTGAGTAAACCTGCTGATGCACCGTCAGTGGACGCTTTCACCCGCGTCTCACACTCCTCTTGCTTTTCCTTTCAGTCCTTTTAAGTTCAATTCATCGACAGCATTGCTCTCCTATTACGACGCCCAGGTATAATTTGCTCTTAGTTCGGAAAAGAATTAAATGCGAAGGATGAGGATAGGCAAGTTCGGTGTACAGCTGTATTAGTGGCAGTAACTGAAAGGTGGGTGTGGAGTAGTGATAGTGATTAGTGCCACTGCATCAAATTAACTCGACCACCGGTGGTCATTGTAACCCGAACTCGTGCAGCCCCTGGCACACACCACGCACGACTCAGAACTAGCTGCCTGCCTCACATGTGTTTCCGGCCGCCACTCCATTCTTGCTTTGGTCAACCACGAATGAGCTCGCCTTACGTAACTCCACAATGTACCACCCTGCTTCATAAAGCTTTAACGGTTGTACTGGGTATAGCTTACATGATAGCGGGTGTGTATATAACCTCTTGAGATAATTATTTGTCGAATCTATGGTGTCCATTACCAGGTGGTCTAGCTTGACGCTCTAATTCGGCCCTTACTGTCATCCTTTAGGTAAATTATTGATTGATTTACAGTCCTCAGTGATTATGGTAAGGTAAGTTAATAATAGACAGATGGTGTGGTCATTACTCTCCCTTGTGAGTACCGCGACAACTGCAGTATAATTTGGGTAACCGCAGCTGGACGGAGGACAGACGAGGGTCATATATTACCACACGCCTTAATATTGTGCTGTAAGATCCGCCAAACGATTAATTATCGGGAAGCCAACAGTCAGTTCAGTTATGCTCTATTGCTTGCTCTTGCTTAACGTAAATATGAGTTCTACTGTTGTAAGATAATAATGCGTAGTTACATTTCTTATAATACCTAATTGTATAACTGACACTGCAGTGTTGACATTGATGTACGGAATGTTACCCTCGCAAAATCCATAAATTATCATTTAAATAATGTGCTCAGATTATGGTCATTGACTTGGCTCATCTCCCGTGTGTACCTGTGTGTGTTTTGAAACCATTCATAGCCGCATACAAATATGGCAGCGTAAATATTTTCAGGAGAGCAAAACGTTATGTGATGAGTGTAGATGGCTGAGAAGCAGAGCAAGTGCCTGTTAGTGTGAGAGTAGGATAGATTTGGGACGAGGTAAAGTGTGTGTGTGTGTGTTTTGTGTTCCCTGCCACTGGAAGAGTATTCCTTCCTGATGTGTTTGTGATTTTGGGTTGGAGGAAAAGGGAGCAGGAGGAAAACAAGGAGTAAGTGTGGGTGGCATGTAAGCGAGAGGAAATTGAAGAGACCGTTTTAACGGGTGTCTCGTCGCTTAGTGGTTGGTGAGTGTCCACGTGGGTCTGTTTGATCACTGGTGTGTTATTGGTTGGGGTTGAAAGCCCGAGTCGGTGCCACGTATGATCCATCACATCCTGTGCTTGTCACTTCCTGCTCCCTCTTCCTCCCCTCCTTCCTGGCGGACGTCGAAGCATACTACAAGGACAGGGCGTCACACATGGATGTTGTATGTTAAGGACGACAGACTGGGAGGAAACATCGGAAGTGTCTCGCACGTATTCATATGACATTGTTAATTAAGATTTTTTTTTCAGAATTGAAGAGTATGGCTACCACTCCCAACATTTTTGAATTGGGAAATTTATAGTTGACGCGCATTGGATTTTTTCAATGTCCTTAAAATATATTGGGAAAATCATGATATTGTAGCTTTTTATTTCCGCACATTCTTGTTCATCAGTTTAGGCGATTCTGCGGGCGGATGAAGAACAGGGTTCTTTCCCTTGGTAAGGAGACTAATAACCACTTCAGTTTAACCATGTTTGATCTCTGTTATATACTTAACCACGGTGGAGCATTAGGAACGATACAAATTTAAACAAACACTTATGGTGCTGTGGTAGCAGGTGTCGTGGAGCACAGGGATCACTGCTCGCCCATTCGCAGCACTCGCAGTTTATATATACAGTATATACAATCAACACCTCAACCCGCCAGGATTCGAAGCCACGGCACACAAGCCTATGACTGTGACCGGGGAACGCTAACCGCTGGACCACCAGGATACTAACAGCAGTCCTAGACTTTGTTATATTTCACACAAAGCCTGTTCAACGAGCTTATGGCGCCGTGAACCTCTAATGGGGACCACCCGTATCACTTAGGTGGTCAGAGTAACGTTTTACCAAATCCGGCTTCGAAACACGAGGATCCATATATATTTCATGAGCTAATGAAATATACAGTATATGTGTATCAGTGGCGTATGAGACTGTTTTCCTAAGGGAGGAATCGCTGCGATCTTTTGTTCCACTTACTGCCAACTTGACTATTTAATTGCAGTGAGTTTGGCGAGAGTCAGCCGAGTGATATCGCTACACCGTACTGGCTTAAATTGGTTTAGGGTCATTAAAAGAGATTATTTGCAGACTCGTCACCTATATTTTTGTGGATGACTTCATGAGGTCAGGGATTGAAAATGTCCATTAAATTGCTGACGTGAAGTGCAGATGGACTTGCGGGGAATACTTGGCGAGCTTTGCCCACACTGAGGATGATAGCTGGGCTGTGTTGCTGTGAGCCTTAATGGGGAATATTTTTAAATAAGATACATAATAGTAGTAATAATTGCAACAAAGTAATTTCCCAGGCTTTAATGCATCACACTAACTCAAATAAGTCTTTAAAGAAGTTAATAGTTGTAATATACACCAGTTATTTAAGACGCAGCGTATAAGAAAATGGGATTTGGACACTGGTTACAAAAATTGAATAATATACACTACAGTGCAAAAGTAAATCAGGCATGTGACGTCATTAGTCAGTCATGTCATTAGGATGTGTGGACCTTTTGTCTCAGTGTAATGTCACCTCTGTAGTGGAGGTAATGTCGCCAAGTTTAAATTTCTGCCATAGCTTACAAATCATTCATTCTTAGTTTGAGGTTGAATACTGAATCCAGGTCATCGGGTCGATCTAAATTTGCGGGCTTATGTTGTAGGTATATAATTAATCAGTGTGTCTGTCGTGGCAGGTGAGTGAAGTGGTGAAGGAAAGCATTTGGTGAGGCCGTAACTGGTAGCTTCGTTGGCCGGGGTGCCGTGGAAGGCTCTCTGAACATTGATGTCATGAGACAATGTGGGCTGTGTGTCGGAGATGGCCGGGCATTACAGTGCTACGTGACGCTCTTGTAGAAGACGTCCAGGACCCCACTACCACCCTCTGACCCACTCTTGCCTTCCTCGCCCGAACACTTCACTTTGGCTAACAGGGCCCGGGGGCACCCGAGTAGGATGCGCTCATTACAGTGGACGTTTGCTTGTTGTCTCCTACATCCTTCATCCTAGTTACACCCTCATACACTGTCTGTCGTAGTAAACTCACCCCGAATGCACCGAATGTCGTGTTTTTGTTGTCTGTAGTATGAACACGTTTACACCGTTTTATATATCATTGAGTCAAGTGAAAGTCCTAATTTGTCCTTATATATTTTCTTCTGGGTTCCTTGCCGTTCTCCAGCCTGATCCCCTCCTTTTGTTAACCCCAGTTAACTTCTCTTTTCATTCCTCTTAATTTGATACTCTTTCCTTCCTGTCGTTTTGTTTTGCT